TACATGTCTGCATGGACAGCTGTGAAGGAGTTTTGTGAGGTATATACCTAAATATCTCCTTTGTATGTCTCAAGTATATGAATCTTTAATTTAATGCTAAATTAATAGAATACATTGCAGAATAATTGAGTTTATATTCACTCCTACCTTCAGTGAATGTATCTCCCATTGTCCTAATCCACATCAATACTCAATATTATTCAACTTCTTTATTTTGCCCATTCAATGAGTGAAAAACTGCATCTCCTCTTTTTTTTATGCATTTACATTTACCAATTACTAATGAGATTATGAATTTCTTTATACAGATTTAACAATTCAGTTTTACCCTTTGGTGGATTTCCTGTTCACACAATTTAACAATTCTTTGTTAGATTTTCTATCTTTGTCCTGTATGATTTACAGTTATTTTCTATGGCTCTAGGTAAATCTTTTTTTCCTTATTAGTCTTTGAAAATATCTTTCCAAAATGTCAGAAATCTGCTTTGTCTATTAATGCTCTTAATTTAGCATAGATATATAATTGTAAGTTGTAAAATTAATTTTTCCATATTGTTTGTACTTTGGTAACTTATTTAGAAATCCTTTTCACCTCAATGTCAGAAAGACATTATCCTGAATTTTATTACATTTTTTCCATAAAGTGAGCCAATTTTCCATAGGAGCTTATCCTTTTTCAATTAATATGTGATTCTATGTGTCTTAGTGTTGTGGCAGGGGACAAAAGGCAGAGTCAGATGAAATTCTGAGGATAATCAAATGAAGAAAATGGTTATTTAAGAGTAACTGGAATTAAGTGGGCTAACACGATCCTAAAGGCCTGGCTAATGCGGAGTTGTCTCTCCTCATCATGAACAACAAAGGATGAAATAGTGTTGTTGCCATCGCCTGAGAGATCCAGAACCACGGGTGATGGGCCACAAGCAGGAGCTGTAGTTGTAGAGAATGAGCCCACCAACTGAAATGTGGTCCAAAACAAAAGGGAGCTAGAAGGGCTAGTCTGGCTTCTTTCTCTTCCAGTCTTTAGTCTCCCACCCTTGGCCCCCACAGAGCAGAAAGGAAGGGACCCCAGATGACTGACTTGGTAGAGGTTCCCTCCATAAGCTACAGAGTAAGGAGAAGAAGGGTGAGGATGGATTTGAGGGGACAAACAGAGAAAGACCAATTTATACCATATGTATTAAATACCACAGATAGTTTTCTTGTTTCTCTATTATGTTTTATTTGGATTTGTTTTTTTCTTACATCAAGACCACTCTGTGTATGTGTGTGTGTGTGTGTGTTTGTGTCTGTGTGTTTTCTTTTACTATGGCTGTTTTAATATCTGGTAGAATAAATTTGAAAAACATTTTGTTGTTTTATAATTATCCTAGCTATTAGCAAACATTAATTCTTTCACATAATTTTAAGATTAAACTATTTTATTGTTCCTAATATTCTGCTAGCATTGTGTTAGAATTATATTGAGTCTATATATTAATATGAGGTGATTTAGCTTTAAAATGTTAATATTTCTCCTCCCTGAACATTATGAAGTTGTCCAGTTATTCAAGTATATAAAAGTATTTTTAAAACTCCACAGAGATCTCATGCATTATTAAAATAATTTAATCAAACTGGTGAAAAGTAGTACTATTTTTAAAATCTCTTTGTATTTATCTATTTTCTTATCACTTTCTGTGTAAGTCTTATCATCCACATTTATTCATTTTCTCCTTCGTTTCTAATACCTATGCTACACTAACATCTTTACTTCATTATTGTGTTAGATAAAAACTTCAGACTTAAAGAGAAAGATTCCAAAAGTTGTTTCCCCCACTATGTTTATGGAGATGTCTACAGGTAGCCTTTATCAAGATAAGGACTATCCTTTTTATTTCCATTTTCACGTACTATAACAATTATTCACAATTTTCCCTGATATAATATTCTTAAGACAATAAATTGTAATTTTTCTTAATACAAAATTTAAATGATTCAAATCATGTGATACACAATAAACAACATTGTTTTGTGCTCTATTTTCAAGGAGAGGCAAGTCAAGCTGAAACTTGTACTTGCTTAAGAATTGTGTTAAATACTAATGGTAAAAATGAGTTTGAACACACAGCCCTCCACACTGGATGGGGTTGCCACCTCTGTATTTCTCTTTTGAGGGGATGTACATATATCTTCAACTGGGAAAATAAGCAGCTGCACACAGGCATATTTGGGATGTGTGGCTGTGTAAGGATGTGGAGGGGTTACATCCAGAATATCTGGAAGAAACCTAGGTCTTTAATGATTTTTTTTTAGTAAACAATTTTTTAAAATTTTTAAAAAATCATTTTTATTCTATTACGGTTGTCTCAGTTGTTCCCTCTTTGCCCTTCTCCACCCGCCCCTTGCTTCCTTTCCTGCTCCCTCAGTGAATCCCCACTCTGTTGTCCATGTCCATGGGTCATTCATACATTTCTTTGCCTAGTCCCTTCCCCTTCTTTCCACCATTGTCCTCTTTCCCCATCCCCTCTGATCACTTTCAGTCTGCTCCATGTTTCCATGCCTGTGGCTTATTTTGTTCATTAGTTTATTTTGTTGAATAGATTCCACTTACAGGTGAGATCATATGGTATTTGTCTTTCACTAACTGGCTTATTTCACTTGGCATAATATTTTCCAGTTCCATCCATGCTGTCACAAAAGGTAAGTTCCTTCCTTCTTTTTTTAAAATGCAGATTGATTTTATTTAATTTTTAATATCAAATTCCATTTTAAAATATTAAAAATTTAAATACATTATGAAGTCTCAGCAATTTAAACAACATGACACCAGCACAGAATTAATCAAGTAGATCAATGAAATAAAATAAAATGAGCATTCTAGAAACAAATGCATATATCTGTCTAACAATGTAATATATGATTAAGTTGATATTTCAAATCAATGGGGAAAATAAGGCTTACTCAACAAATAAGGCTCATGGACCACTATAACTTGAAATAAAACAAATATAGAGCCCTATTTCACACATTATACAAAAAATATTCAGGTGAGTTAAAAATCATATGTAAACTCTAAGGAGTTTTAGGAGAAAATACTGAATAATATTTTTCTTACCCTGAAGTAAAATGATATTCAAACCCAGAAGCTATAAAATAAAGTATTGACAATGTTACTATATTAAACCTTTAAGACTATACAGTAATATACATAAGAAAAAAGTTAAAAGACAAGTAATAGAATAGAAAGGTATTTGCAACATAACTGAAAAAAGGTTACTAGTTTTTTTTTAGGGAAAATATTCTACAAACATTTAATCAAAAAATGGATAAAGAATACCAAAAATAAATTTAAAAAATAATAGAAATAGGCAAGAAATATACAAAAACATGTTTAGTTTCAACAAATACTAAAGTAACAATTAAAATAACACATCATTGTCACAACCAGATTAATAAGTATTAAAAACATTGGTAATATCAAGTTTTGGTGACTGTGAAAGGAACTAGGTATTTATAGACTCTTTTTCTTCATCTTCTTAAAGCAGTCCCTTTAGCATATCGTGTGATGCTGGTTTGGTGGAGGTGTATTCCTCTAGCCGTCTTTTGTCTGGGAAACTCCTTATTTCACCTTCCATTTTAATTGAGAGCCTTGCTGGGTAGAGCAGTCTTGGTTGCAGGCCTTTGCTTTTCATGACTTGGAATATTTCTTGTCATTCCCTTCTGGCTTGCAGTGTTTCTGTTGAGGAGTTAGCTGCTAGCTGTACTGGGGCTCCCTTCACTGCTATCTGGATTTTTTTTTTTTTTATATTGAAACTGTTCAGATCTTTTGACTATTTTTCTTTTGACTTATCTGCCTTAAAAATAGTTTGTGTAATTAAAAAATTTAAAACATATATTCAGGATATGAGCTCTTTTATCAGTTAAAGTTTTACAAATGTCTACCTCCAATCCATGTCATTGTTTTCATCTATATTATTTTTTCCAACTCCATTTTCTTTTTAATGGGTAAATCAAACCATTGCATGAGACATCTAATCTGTAACTTTTCTCTCCTTTAATACATTATTTTATATTCTTGTATTATAAAGAACTAATACCAGAATGGAAGCATAGCATTTATATTTGCATATAAGCACTCCATATTCTAGCCAGTGAAATCTAATTTTTATTTATTGACATAGTTAAGATCCTTCATGAATCTGGCTTTGCTGAACTGTTGAATATATGAAACTAAATATACTCGTTTGTCCCTCAATTCAGCATGCCAATGCCCATCTTCCTATCTTAGCAGTGTCTTTTTTTTTTTTTTAATATAAGATTTCTAGAAAAAGAGCCCAAACTTGTTACTGAGAGTTTATTTGGGGGATGCAATTTAGGCTGCATAAGTGAGGGGGGACATTACAAAATACAACAAGAAAGAAGTGATATTTATCAGCTTGCTTGTTCTTATTACCTGTTAACATTTCTTCATATATGAGTGTTTTACTTAGGCCTTTTGGGCAGCTACTGAGGAATCTAGATCCTACTTCTCTTAATGGGACATTTCCTTTGAATGTGGAAGTAGGCTACACATTCCATGGATTCAGGCTGGTCAGACCGTGCCCATAACAGTGAGTTTATCAATGTTTTGCTAAAGCTGGCCTGTCCCCCACAGAAGAAGGCACCCAAATACTCCATTTAGAAAATGAAGCAATATCAAAGACAGTAGCCAGGGCTCTCCATTGAGCAAGTGGCCCAGGCCAAAAGGCAGTAGGGACCAAGTGAATGTGGGGATGTGCATAGCAGGGTTCTGTATACTTTTGTGCTCTGGCCTAAAACAAAGAGCCATAGTAAGAGCACAGGAAGGAAAGAGAAAAAGAGATCATCTCAATGTGTTTGACATTCGTGGTATGACTAACTTATTTGATTGCATATCACAGGTAATTCTCTTGAAAGCCAGGATTTCAAAATTATCTGTGTGTATGTGTGTTACCATGATTCTTGCTGCCTGATCCCACAATTGCTATTTCATTTTCCAGCTGTGATGGAGCATTCATTTTCCTGTGCATTTGGATACTTTGTGAGCATTCTGCTCTTACAGATGGTGCTCACCTCAGGTACGGACACTTATTTCTTTTTCATGGTGTATCACATCTATAAAGAAAGACAATGGAGGTAAATGATGCTGAAGGAAAGGAGGAAGTTTTCTCATTGATATTGCTCAGATTCACCCTTTTTGTTAAAGTTTTGAGGGTAGAAATGAGTCTCAAAACAACTTATGATTAAGAAATGCCATTTCAGTGACTGTCTTTCTCAGCCCCAACCCCATGCCACAGAGCTGCATGGATGTGCCTTGGAGAAGAGACAGATAAATGCCTACTATCTCCCCTGGGAGGCAAAAGTTAAAATGAATATATCCCTTATATTTAAGAACCAACCATAATCATTTATGTGACTATAAATTTAGTTTAGAATTATAAGTTTAATAGGACCTCAGATAAAGAAGTTGGTGTGATCTGGATCTGTCCACAAGTTTTTCTTTGTGCAATGGGCTTTGAATGTGATGATTCAGGTTCCTTACAGTGGGAGGGATAAACATCGTCAGCAGAGACAGGAATGAATCTGGCATAGTTGAAAGGAGCAAAAATTTAGAGTATGGAAGGAGCAGTGTGATAGTCACCTGTTGGGAACCATCCCTCCTGGAGTCAGGGACTGTAGCCATGCTGACAAACAAGAGGTCTCCAAAGCTGGAGCTGAGGAAGGAGGCCTTGGGAAAATAGGTCATTGAGGACACAAAACCTGTCCCCATGGCAGGGGCATAGCCCCTGCCTCCCTCATATCACCACTCTGCTTGGCCCTGAAGGATGGCTGATGAGTCAATGACGGGTAAGACCCCTTAATGGCAGGGGCAACCTAAGACAGGCCAAGTCCCATAGGGGCCATCAGGGAAAGACTGGGGCACACAGAGAAAAGGGGAAAAAGACCCTCACCCTTCAGCCTTGATATGGCCGGGGTCCTCATTCTATCTGAAAGAATTCTCCTTAGCTCTTGGTGGCTCTACCCCACCCACCTGGCTCAGGCTTGAAACAATACTAAAGGCAGGTACAGCTCTAAACTGGATCAGGCAGTTCCTAGGGGAAATTAGGCCTGGAAAAAGAATGCATGAAATCTTATGAAATTTACTTTGCTAAGAATTCCCTCGAGTTAATGAGTACTGATGTTTGGGGTTGAGCATTGAATGTGATCAGTTTCCCAGGTTTCAGGGTTGAATGAGTGCCACAGTGTCTACCAGACCCTGACCTGAGGCAAATCTCTTATGTTCCCTCAATTGTTATCTATGATCTCTATTTGTGTTCTGTAAACATAGCCTTTTGACAATGATTGATGAGCTTTACATCCATATCCCTGCACAAATGGTTCTCAATAAACGTCACTTCAAGAGAAGGGCTTGGGGCCTTCTCCACTAGAGGGAAGTGCCACCCCTTTCCCTGACAGACCTAGAGAAAAGTGTCTGGGATGACTTATTTTATTTCACTATCCGTGATGACCCGGAGCATGCTGTGCAGGACAGAGTCCATCCTCCTCCTCAGTCACCTATAACTTCATAACAAGTTATTCCCAAAAGGAGTAATTTAAAACAACAGTTTTACTATATCTCGTAGTTTGTGGGTCAGGAATTCTGGCCAGGGCATTCTTCTGTTCCATGTGATATAGACTAAGATCACTTGGTGTATTCACCTGGTGGGTAGGATGCTCTGAGGGGCCCAAGGTGGTTTCATTCATATCTGGCATCCGGTAGGCTGGAAGGCTGGGATCAGCTTGTCAAATGGCATGTCAACATGTGGCCTTTCTGCCGTGGTAGATTCAGGATAGTCAGACTTCATTTTGGCAGCTCACGGCTTCCAGAATGAGTGTTACAAAACAACAACAACAACAACAAAGAATGAGAGTTGCTCATTTCCTAATAATTTCTGGGCTCAGAAATTATTGTGTGTTTTCTTTTTCTGTATTCTACTTGCAAAGCACTCTTAGAACACACTTTCTGGAGAAGAAGACATAGACCCTTTCTCTTCATGGAAGAAACATCAAAAAATTTGTGGCCATCTTTAATCTACCAAAAATGGATGCTGAAAAAAGCAGCTAGTGGATTGGATAAGTAAAGTATGTTGTTCAACAATAGTGGTCCATATCCCATCTCTAGACAATCAGAGTATCTTCTATCCCTTTACTAAATATATTTAAAGTGCCTAATATGTACAGGTAATGTTTTATGCACTGGGAATAATAAAGAGAAATTAAAAAGGGAATAAGACAAAACTCTGCAGCTGCATGACTTGTATATCAGTGAACCATGAGAGAAAATAAAGACAGAAATAAAAAATATCAGGTAGTTAGTTGTATGTGCTATGAAGACATGCCTAGGTATAATTAAGGGAAATGTTGAATGGGTGGTCATAACAAATAGATTACAAATCCTCCCATTTAATCTGGGACTTGAGAGGTAATGAGACAGACTGGAATAATGTTCTCAGAGTAAAGATACCTCTGAGAATAAAGTTCTGAGTCAGAAAGGACTTGGCATCAAGAACCAAAAAGAAGGCCAACGTGTCTAGAGCAGAAGGAGATAAGTAAAGCATTCTTCTGTGACCTTCAGACTAAAACCTTGGTCTCTGACTTTATCCACAGAGCAATTCACTGTGAGTAGCCCCAGGAGACACCAGGTGGTCATGCTAGGCACACATGCTGAGCTCAGCTGCCAGCTCTCCCCCCGACAGAGTGCAGAACACATGCAGGTGGGCTGGTATCGGGATCACTACCAACCGATTTCCGTTTACAAGAAAGGGGAAGAACTCTCTGGAAAAAGCATTCAGAATTATATGAATCACACAATGATCCTGAAGGATGCCCTCGGAGAGGGTAAAATGACCCTCAGAATCCACAACGTCAGTGTTTTTGATGCAGGGCAGTACCACTGTTTCTTTAAAGATGATGATACCACTGAAGAGGCCACTGTGGATCTGAAGGTAGCAGGTAAGGACAGAGGAGTCATCTCCAGGTTTCCTTGTTAGTGCTATTCTAAACTCAGGGTCCAGAATTCATGAATTCTGGGCAATGAGGAAAAGATCTCCTGGCATATAAAAAAAAGTATAATATTAAATATAATGAAATAATATAATTTATAGAAAAAATATGTAGAAAAAATATGTGTTTAATATGTAGTTATTAAAGAATATACAGGGCTTTGGCAGGGTGGCTCAGTTAATTGGAGCCTTGTTCCATGCATCAAATGTCGCACATTTGATCCCGGGTCAAGGAACATGCCTAGATTTCGGGTTCAATCTCCCATCAGGGGTCATATGGGAGACAACCAGTCAATGTTTTTCTCTCTCACATCGGTGTTTCTTTCTCCCTCTCTCTCAAAAAAAACAAAAAGATTATGCAGATTGCTTTCAAGTTTTTGATGTGCAAACTATGCAGTGTTCTAATTAATAATTTAAGTAAATTACTACACGTGTAATTTCACACATATGCAAGTGTATATCTATATGAAAATTTTAACTTTTAAAATTTGAAAATTTTAACAGTTTGCTAAGTCACAAACACACACGTCTTTAGGCTTTTAATTTGGCTTTACTGAATTCATAAAACAAATTAGACATGCAGTGGGGTTAATGGATCAGGATCTTACCCTTTTAAGCGTCTGGGTTCCAATCCTTTTTCTTGAAGAAATTCTATTAAAGAAACTCAGGATCATTAGCTGTCCTCCCTTACAGGCAAATGTGCAGAGGCAGAAATGGCTAAGGCCTCCCTGAATCCCAATCCTGTCCCTTTTCAGGTCCTGTAATTGTTTTTTATCTTGTTAGAACTTTGAGCGAATTTTAGGAGATACTTATTTGTATTTCATCCACACTTGGGTTGTCTTCAGTGGGTAGATGGGGTCAAATTATCTCGTCACCATTACTGGCAGCCAAAAACTCTAAACATTATTTCTATTTTTAAAATTGTGTTTATTTATTATTTGTATAGTTATCTACTCCCCAAAATAATGTGATTCAGGTTCCATGCTCAAAAAGAGATGATACAAATGTCAAAATAACTAATGTAGATGGGGACACACAGTGGAATTTGATTTTAATTTTGATTAAAACTTTTTTTTAATTGAAGTATACTTTACAATTAGTAGAGTGTGCAAATGTTAAATGTACAGCTCAGTGAATTTTAATACACGGGGACCCCCTTTAACTCACCCTTCAGATCAAGACATTGATTATTTCCAGCACCCAGAAGGGTGCATCTTCCCCTTTCCTAGTCAATACCACTCTCCTCCTCCTGAGGTAACCATTGCTCTAACTTCTATCACAATAGATTAGTTTTGCTTCTTCTGGAACATGATATAAGTGAGATTATACATTTAAATATAAAATTGCTCATCACTACTCATTTATGTTATTGTGAATAGCAAAAGCTTGTTCTTGTGCAATTTTTGTACTATTCTGTGCTGTGCCTGGTCATTTCAGTTACTTTCAGTTTAGGGCTATTATGAATAATGCTGCCATGAATATTCTTGAACATACTTTCTGGTAGACATTAGTACTAATTAATACTATCATTTCCCTGATAGTTGCTGATATTGAGCATTTCTGCATATACTTGTTGGTCATTTGGATATGTAGATATACTAAATCAAATACCTCTCCAACTTTTTTTGCCCATTTTAAAAACCAGTGTTTTCTGTCTTACTGATTTCTTTTTTAAAAGACTTTATTTATTTATTTTATTTATTTTTAGAGAGAGGGGAAGGGAAGAAGAAAGAGAGGGAGAGAATCATAAAAGTGTGGTTGCCTCTTGCGTGCCCCAGGGCATATGGCCGGCAACCTAGTCATGTGCCCTGACTGGGACTCGCACCTGTGACTGGTTTGCAGGCTGGCACTCAGTCCACTGAGCCACACCAGCAAGGGCTGTCTTACTGATTTCTAATATTTAAAAAAATATATTTTGGATTCAATTCCTTTCTTGGATATATTGTGAATGTCTTTTGCTCTGTAACTTGTTTTTTTGCTTTCTACATGTCTTTTGATGAAGAGAAATTACTAACTCCCATAAAGTCTAATTTATCATTCATTTTTTCTATGCTTAATATTTTTGATGTCCTGTTAACTTGGGTTAGATTGGAGTATTATCCCTGCCCTAATTGTGGTCATCACTATTAAACTTACGGCACACTTTATTGACCACAGAGAATGAGAAGGTACACTTACGTCTTAATTCTTGAGTCTGCACCAATAATTGATGTCATTTCTCTCTCCTCCTCCAGCTGTAGGAGTGGATATACAGATTAATGTTGAGATTCCTGACACAAAAGGGCTCGTGGTGGAGTGTAACTCAGGAGGGTGGTTCCCACAACCCCGCATGGAATGGAGAGACAGCAGAGGGAATGTAATTCCAGCCTCGTCAAAAGTCTTCTCTGAGGATGGAAATGGATTATTGCACCTTAAGATGAGTGTTCTTCTCGAAACCAGCACCCATGGCCCTGTCACTTGCTGCTTGCTTAACCCAGTTACTCAACAAGAGAAAAGGGCAGGTATTGTCCTACCAGGTGAGTGCTTGTGACTTAGTTCTATCAAGGAAGAATGGTCTTCATTAGTGTGGCAGACTAAGGATAAAATTAAGTGAAAATAAATGTGAAATTGCTTTGTAGATGGTGAACTGTTATAGACATGTGAAATTTAAACTTTAAGTGTCTGGGAACAAGGAAAGCACTAGATGCTGAGGGGGCTGTGTTTAAGAATGGAAGTTATCACAATAATTAGAAAAAAAGCTTTTATTCTGTTCAGCATCTCAAGGCTTCAAAAGCTTTTTGTATCATTTGAGTACTAGATCCACTATTTCTAGCTTTGTGAACTTGGACATCACTTAACCTTCTAGACCACTGATTTTTCTCATTTGGAAATGTTTCATTTGAATTTGAAATAAAATAGTGCAAGTAAAATGATATAAAGCAATAATCAGAATTAAGATTGGTTTAAAAATTATGGATGTCACAAGTGGACTTTATTATTACTTTGTGAAGAAATAGACAGATAAAGAAGCCAGTTATAAAGATTTGGCAACCAATAAGTGATATATCCAGGATTAGATCTGAGTTCCCTGCCCATTATCCAAGGCTATTTTTCTCTGGTGAAAGGTGGTTGTGATCAGAGACGTCAGACGCAAATACTGTAAAATTGTGCTCTTTGTGCTTCAGCCTGAGACTAGGTGCAGTCCCGAGGGAAATTAAGGTGGATGGAAAGGACAAGAGGTAGGAGGAATGAAAGGGTCCATTTCAAGTAGGACAACAGCTCAATTGTTCTACTAAGAGACTTCCCCCATCACCAGTTCAAACACAATAAAAACGCATAGTTCATGTGGCTGTACTCTTTGGGGTAACTCAGACACCCAGGTTCACATGGATTGTTGACCATCAATCTTCTTAAAGATTTGGAAAACTTGTTGATGAAGCAAAACTAAGTTTGTTAGACCTAATGCAGTTTGAGAGAACATTATCTTAACAGAGTATTAATAGCATTATAAAATGGGTAATTAGGAGAAGATAGTTATAGTTTTAGAGCCTCTATGGGGTGATATTAAAATAGGTTTTTCAAGGTGAAAAACTAGTTAGAATTTTCAGCTTATAAGAGAATAGCTTTGGATTGGTGAGCACAGTAAGGTGAAGATATTGAAGTGAGTCTTGATGAGCCCGTCATTCATTTTATTGAATAAGTTATTTTAGTTGGCTCATAGTCTTATTTCCCAGAAACAAGTATCTCCTTGAACCAGTAGCCAAGTTATTGCTGTTCACTTTCAGTTGTTTAGTATAGGGGCAGGAAAGTGTGTCTAGACCCAAAATTGTTTACCGCAAGAACAGAAAGTTGATTGGGCCCAGTATTGCTTAACATAGGGACAGGGAATAATTTTAGTTTTATTTCTCAAGGAGAACTATTGTTGAAAAGAAAAAGGAAGGGGCATTTCCTGAGAGCCATCATCAATGTCTCTCAGAAGGTCTTTGGATGTGATCTCAGATGAAATTTAGCCTTATTGTTAAGAGGATTCCTGAGCAAAAGAAGGTAACTTTAACTAGGTCCAGTTCACAGAAGCTGAGTATCAGGGAATTACAGAATGTTCTTTCTTCTCATAGCCATGGAAGAATAATTAGAAAGTTAATAAATAACTCTTAGAAACCCTTTTCTCCTAGTCATCAAAACCTCACTTCATTTTTCTCTGGCGAAAGGTGGTTGTGATCAGAGATGTCAGAGGCAAATACTGTAAAATGTGCTCTTTGTGCTTCAGCCTGAGACTAGGTGCAGTCCCGAGGGAAATTAAGGTGGATGGAAAGGACAAGAGGTGCTCAGGGCTCCTTGTAATCCAAAATTAACTCCATGAGTCAACTCACAATTTTGATCCTCTGTTTAACTTCACGGGAGGCTTACTTTTGGTTTCCCTCTCAATCCTGCATTTCTAGTCTGAGTCATTGACGGATTTTGGACTGGCTGACATAATTAGTGTTGTTGAAGCTGGTGTGTAAATGTAGAGCCTTAGCCCATGCCCTTTCCTTGGTGATTTTTTATTTGAATAAAAGTCTTTCTTAAAATGAAAAAGCAGATTTTGTCCTGGTGATAGCCAAGTAAGGGGTAAGTGAGATGCCTTGACAATGGAGCTGTTAGTTTTACATGTTATTTTTTCTTGACCCAAAAATTCATGCGTCCCTTAAATTCCAATAGTTTGGTGCCATACCCCCAAGGCAGCCTGCTTAACTTCAAACCATTTTTAAATTTATTACATTGAGATTATTTATTTTTTGTTCTGCACCTGAAAATTACAATATATGGAGACATTACCTATATGATTCTGTAGTTTGCTTGTCTGTTTCCAAGTTCACCTTCTTTAGTCCCTCAGAAACAATGCTTATCTCTTTTTACAATATCTCATACGCAACACTTTTTAAACCAAAGTCACCAGTGATTGGTAGTAACCAAAGAGCAAATGCTGATAGTGCACTTTCCCTATTTTCTGAACTTTGAGGAGTTTGAGGAGTTTTTTACTCTACCACCACTCAGAAATTTGTTACTCTTTAAGAAGCATATTTTTATCAGGATATTGGGTGTTCACTCCTGGGAGAATTTTTCTGTCACATTGGTCTTAACTTGCTGGGAATTTAACACTGGATGTCAGAAGACTTTCTCAGTTTTACTTATGGAGTTTCAGAGCTCTTACATTTTGTTTAAACTTCCTGAAACCTTACCAGGGGCACATCTGATACAGTTCCACAACCCGTGGCTTCCCCCAGTCCTCCATATATTGCGGTGCTCGGACCATGTCCTATAATTTTCCCCATCTCACATTTGTCCCTTGGAATGTAAGAAAATAAGTAGAAACTTATTTCTCTTCTCAATCCTCTTCCGTTCTCATCCAATAACTCCCAAATCCTGAGCTTTCCCATAGTCCAGCTTCATTGACTAGTAGCCCTTGTCAGATCCTGGAGTACACAGTACAGTGTAATGGGGGCCGTAACTGGAGACCTGATCAGCGATATTCCATACCCATTGGAGCCTTGTGATCCTGCTGCCCTACTCGTCAAGATTTTCTGCTCTCTCTTTCAGATATCCTGATAAAATTGGAGTATATGTCGACAATAACATGCATAAATTCATGGCTCCTGATATATTTATTCATTATGCATGTTCTTCTGTACTTCAGATCAAAAGGTATTTCATTAATATATTAAATGCTTAGAGAAGGTTTATACAAAACTGTGTAAACTTGCATCTTAATGTATCCCACTGCTGTATTTGCCAAAGAAGGTCTCAATGTTTTGAGTTATGCCTCGGGTTAAGCTGCCATCCTCCCTCCTTATGTGGCTCTCCAGGGCTCAAGCACTGCTGCTGCAATAGTGCCTATCACCACCCAGATCTCCTGATCCTTTCAGAGCCATCATTGCTCATTTCCCAGCACTTGGAATCTTAATAATAATTCTGTCCTCTTTCACAGGCAACCATGGGTAGTTAGGCTTATCACTCAAATTGTCCAGAGTATTTTACTTTGATAACAAGAGAAAGAGAAAAATAGATGAACCAATAATCAGACTACTGGTCCTCCCAAATCTCCTCTCAATTCTCTTCTGTTCTTCCTATGAAACTAATCTATTTTCTTTCTTTCCCATCAGAGGTAGAAAGTGAAGCTTCAACTTCAGGAAACTTAGAGCAGAGGGCAGAGTAGGTATCAGATACCCTTGAAAATGACTCCTTAAGTACCTGACTTCAGGGACTTCAGACTATGCAAGATGAATAACTGAAGTGACAGATTATGACATCAAATACTTGACATACAAAATATTTCCTGGAATAAAAGAGCTGTCATTGACTTTTCTGGATGGAGGAAGAGAGGGACTGGGAGATTTAGGGACAAAACCCAAATCTCCCTGTAGTAACATATATACAACTCAAAAGACAAAGCAACTTTTGAGAACTCTCATGGAAATAAGACTTATGTGTGATTTGGGAAACATCAGGCCAAAAAAAGATCAGAAAATTTGACTTAGCCCTCTACCCAATTTATAAAGACCTCTATAACTTTGAATTATTATACTTGTAATGTACTAGCAGATGTCACACATGGTTTGTAGTAAATATCTTACTAACTTATCCAAATCATCCTTTGTGGTACGTTCTACTTATTTCCATCATTTTTTTTCAGATGAAGAAATTAAAGATCAGAATTTTCAGGTATATTGTTCAAGTTCAAACAACCTATAAATATAGAGCCAGGATTAGAACCTAGATTTTTTTTTTTAAAGATTTTATTTATTTATTTTTAGAGAGAGGGTAAGAGGGGGAGAAAGCAAGGGAGAGAAACATCCATGTGTGGTTGGCTCTCAAGTGCCCCCTACTGAGGACCTGGCCTGCAACCCAGGCATGTGCCCTAACTGGGAATCCAACTGGCAACCCTTTGCTTCACAGGCCCGCACTCAGTCCACTGAGCCACACCAGCCAGGGCACCTAGATGTTTCAAATGGTTAACACTTTGCACCAACCATCATGTTCTTCCTGTTGTACAAGTATCAAGACCACTCTTGCATTCGTGCAGCAATGGGGAGGTCACTAACTCATTAGGCAGTTTGGCTTATTTATTCATTTACTCAACAAATTTATATTGAGCATCTCCTAGGTACTAGCCACTGTTCTAAATATTGACAATATAGTAATGGGAGAGGAAGCCAAAGTCTTTGCCTTCATAGACCTTATTTATAGTGTAATGTGAGAAATTCTTCCTTTTGGAAATTTCTTGTTGGTAATTGCTGGTATTTTTTGATTTAACAAAAAACCATACAGTATTTTTATTTCTTTTATTTTTTGACTTTAAAAAGTTTTTCTATTTTTCAACTACAGTTGACATACAATATTACATTAGTTTCAGCTGTACAATTAAATTATTAGACATTATATAACTTACTAAGTGATCACCCCAATAAACTTAGTAGCCATCTGACACCAAACATAGTTATTATAATATTAACTATATTCCATATGCTGTACTTTACATCTCCAGGACTATTCTGTAACTACCAGTTTGTATCTCTTAATCCCTTCACCTTTTAAACTGATAAGAACAGATACTACACTTGACCTTGGCCAAAAAGCTGAGAAATGATCCCCTTCATTTTAACCTCCTAAACCCCCTTCCTATCTGGCAACCATCAAAATGTTCTCTGTATCTATGATACTATTTCTGTTCTGCTTATTTGTTTATTTGCTTTTTAGATCTATTTTTGTCTTGGATAAGTATTGCTACTCCAGCTTTTTTTTATTTGTTTGTTTCTGTTTTCATGAAATATCATTTCCATCCCTTTATTTTCAGTCTGTGTGCATTTTTCTATCTGAAGTTAGTCTTTTGTAGACAGCATATGTAAGGGTCTCGTTTTTGCTATCCATTCAATCTCTGTAAGTCTTTTGACTGGAACATATCCGTTTGCTTTTAAAGTAGTTGTTGATAGGTATGTATTTACTGATATTTTATTATTCATATTTTTGAACTTCTTAAAGAAGACTCTTTACCATTTTATGTATCTAATACTGGTTTGGTGGTGATGAACTCCTTTAGCTTTTTCTTAGCTCTTTATCTGTCCTTTGGTTCTAAATGATATCTTTGTTGGATAGAGTAATCTTAGTTGTACAACCTTGTTTTTCATCATTTTGATTATTTCTGGCCAATTCCATCTGCCTGCAAAATTTCTGTTGAGAAATCAGCTACAGTTTTATGGGAGCTCCCTTGTAGGTAACTAAGTGCTTTTTCTCTTTCTGTTTTTAAGATTCTCTTTGTTTTTAACCTTTGCATTTTAATTATGATGTGTCTTAGTGTGGGCCTCTTTGGGTTCTTCTTGTTTGGGACTTTCTGTGCTTCCTGGACTTGTCTGTTTCCTTCACCAGGTTAGGGAAGTTTTCTGTCATTATTTCTTCACATAGGTTTTCAATCCCTTGCCCCTATTATTTTTTTGTATTCTTCTTTCTTCTAGCTGTTCTGATAGTACTTCCTGCTTTCTTATCTTCTAAATCTCTGATTTGATCCTCTGCTTCATCTACTCCATTGTTGATTCCATCATGCATTCTTCATTTCAGTTAGTGTATTCATTTCTGACTGGATCTTTTTTTTTGTTTCTAATAGCCATTTTTATGTTTCCTATCTCTTTGTTGAAGTTCTCACTAAGTTCATCTACTCTTCCCTTAGGGTTCCTTCAGCATTCTTATAACAAGTGTTCTGAACTCTGCATCTAGTAGATTTCTAGTCTCTGTTCCTTTTCCGATCTTTCATTTGGGACACATTACTTTGCCTCCTCATTTTGGCTGCTTCCCTCTGTTTGTTTTTATGTATTAGGTAGAGCTGCTACATCCCCTGAGTTTGGTAGAATGGCTTTATATAGCAAGTGTCTTGTAGGGTCCAGTGGCACAGCCTCCCCAATCACCCAAGTCCAGCTGGTCACTTCAAGTGCACTTGCCCCTGCCATGGACTGTGTAAACCCTCCTATTGTAGTTAAGCCTTGATTGCTCTAAGCATGTCAATGGGAAAGATTTACCCCCAGGCCATTTGGTTGCAAGAACTGGCTGTGACCACCATGGTGGATCACAGGTGCAGAGGCCAACCCCACAGAGGAAAACTTACTTCAGCAGGTCTCTGGTGCCTGCTGAGTTTACCCTTTGAGTGTCCCTAGTGGAAGTAGTTGGGTGGTATTTTGACATGGTCTGAAGATGTCCACCAAATGTGCTGGTTCTGGGGTCTCCCAGGAGATAGAAGCCAAGGACAGTTGCTGCCTGTACCCTTCCCAGAGCCACCTTCCATGAGCTACAAAGAGATCTGCAGCTGGCTACTATCTGCTGGGCCTCCCATGTGAGGCCATGCTGTGAACCAAAGGTTCACAGACTAGCTGTTGCTTATGCTCGGCCTAGTGCCCCTTAGTGAGAGGTATGCAGCATGCCAAGGCCAGATGCTGGCTTGTTTGAGAGATTTTAGGAAAGTCTGAAGTATGAGCCAAAATAAGCCATTTGTATGGAAAAGCCACTGGGATGAGGCAGAGTTTCAAGTAATCACAAGTGTGGGAAAACATTGTGAGCCAGGTTGATGGGGATTCAGATATTGTGCCCACCTGCCTGATCTGTGAAAGGAAGTCCCAGGAAAGGAACAAAGGCCTGTGCCAGCACTTCTGTCTGGGAAAAAGCTGCCCTTCCAGCTCTCACCACAATTCAATACAATTCAGGTTCTTTGTGTATGTCCCTGGTGCCCCAGCACTGGAACTCAAAGTGAGTCAAGTGAGTCAGTCTGAGTAAACCTTGTATGTGGGCCCTTTATGAGGAATGCCTGGGACTCCACAAGCCCTCCTTCTCACTCAGCATCAATACCCACTGGTTTTTACAGCCAGAAGTTATGGGGACTTCTTCTCTTCCTGGCACTGGAACCCCATACTGGGTGGACTGGAGTGGGACTGGGACCCCTTGCTCCTCACAGGGTACCTGTGCAGCTAAGATATTCCTCTCAATTTTTATCCACCACATGTGGGTATGGGACCAGCCACTTCTGTGCCTCTGCCCTCCTACCAGTCTTTATGTGGCTTCTTCTTTATACCCTTAGTTGTAGGATTTCTGTTCAGCTAGATTTCAGGTGGTTTTAATGATGGTTGTTCTGTAATTTAGTTGTAATTTTGATGTGTTTGTGGGAGGATTTGAATACTGCATTTACCTACATTGCCATCTTTACTGGAATCTCTGACTTATTTTACTTAGCATACTACTCTAGATCCATCCATGTAGAATCTAAAAACAAAAAAAATGAACAAAGAACAAAACAGAAACAAACTCATAGATACAGAAAACAAACTGATGGTTGCCAGATGGGAGGAGGTGGAGAGTTGGGTAGAAAAGGTGAAGGGAATTAGGAAGTACAAACTGCCCATTGTAAAATAGTCATGGGATGTAAAGTACAGCATAGGGAATATAGTCAATAATATTGTAATAACTATGTATGGCACCAGATGGGTACTAGACTTACTGTGGTAATCACTTTGTAAGGTATGTAAATGTCTAATCACTGTGTTATGCACTTAACTATTAAAATGTGGTATGTTGACTATAATTTAAAAAATAAAAAAAGAACAAAAACAAAACAGAAACAAAAACCATGTTCCTTTCTGCATCTTCTCCATCTAAGCCAAGTATTCTTAGTTATTTTCCTTGCATTATATGTCCCAGAATTATCCAACAATCTTGTCATTTTCCTCTAGGAATGTAATGAATCAGTAAATGAATCTTTTCTTTAATCTAGCTTAACATAAGAAATTGTGGTTTAGTAAGAAGAGTTGTCAGCCTTGAAGTGATCTTTTTCACACTGTAGTATGAAAATAAGTATTAATTACATATAATAAATACTTATTTATAAATACTTATAAATAAAAATAAGTATTCAAGCAGAGATTGAATAGCAGGAATGCGATAGAGAAGAGCCTTGTGTTATAATTTAAGGACTTAAAATTCTTGGCTTCAAAGGCACTTTGGTTCTCTTAGCTACCTCAGAGTTTCCAAAAACTACCACTTTATTGGTCCTATAAAATTTAGACTCTTAAATATTCACAAATAATAGTGACCAGAGCCCTACTTTTTCCAGATCTTATGTCCAGGCTGATTACATGCTGCACAATATGGGGAGAAGTAGTAAGAAGGGATCATTCTCCCTGACCCTGCTCTATCCTCAGCCTAATGACTGTGAGCCCTGATTGCTGGCTTTATGTTCACCTACAAACCTGCCTTTTGTGCCTGAATTCAGACATAGGTTGAATAGCTCTGAGACTCTAAAAAAAAGTTCTCTGTATCTAGCACCTTCATTGTTATTCCAATATATCCCTAAAGTCCTCTTTCTCTTTGATCTTTTTCAGTTGTACAAGATAAATGTCCCGTTCTTTTTGAAATTTTATTTGAGTGGTTACCATTCCTCACACATGCTAGCATTTTTCCTATCTACTGGAAATTATGGAATAGAGGTAAGTGGAACTAGAAAAATGGGTTTTTCAGGTCATCTCTTCTCTGGTTGGTGCCCTCTTTACTAGGAGGTATTTAAAGAAATCTGAGAAATCTTCATAGCAGAAACAGAAGTCTGGGTTTAGGTGACATCTCAGAGTCTTCATATTCTTTTTCTGAACTGTTTGAAGCCCAGAGTTTTAGGCTGTACTGATGTCTGTATTTCTGCCATCAGTACTTGTGGTGATAGTTGCTTGTGCACCAAGGGAAAATATATATTTCTTCAGTCTGGGATATTTCATTCAAAATTATCAAGTCCAGCCGCTCATTTACAAAACACAATTACTGATGTCACTAACTGATAGGTTGCCTCTAAAGCCATGATTCAAAAACATTTTTGAGTTATAGATCTTCTTTAAAAAATTAATGAAAAACTCCAAAAGCCTAATTTACTTATTTTATTTTCTATTCAGTTTCAATGCTATTGAAAGCTATCATTTTACCCTCTTGACCATATATTTAGATGTTATTTATAAGTATGATTATACTATATCATGAACCTTAGTATGATAGTATCTGAAAATTTAGCAATACCTTTCATTTATTTGCAGCCACTGTGAAGTATTTATATAGGACAATGACTAAGTAAGCAAAAGGACCACTTTATTATTTCCTGGGGCTTTTTCAAATCTATGTGTATTTCTAAATTGGCCCCAAACAAAGCCCATTACATATATTTGAACCTCAAGTTATTTGAACTTCAAGTTATTTTTGAGCTTCTGAGAAGCATTGCTAAAGGAAATTCTGCAGGCAGAGGAAAATAATACCAGAGGGAAGTGTGGCCATTAGGAGTTAAGGTAGAGTAAGAGAAGTGGTAAACAGCTCGGTAAATCTATGAGAATAGTCTTCTCCTCTTACGTTCTTAGGAAACCCCAGATGGCCATTTCTTTTCATGCTGTCCTGGATACATTATCTGGCCCTGGACACAGAACAGACACAGGAAAAGTATAGCAAAGTGGGTGTCTTAGTCCATGCAGGGTACTGTAACAAAAGCCATAGGTGGGGTAGCTTATAAACAACATAATGAACTCAATTATGACAATAGATGAGATGATTAAAATTACAAAAAGAAAAATGAAAATGAAAGTATTAAAAATACTCAATAAAATGAAAATTAAAGAAGAGTAGAAATATATAGATAGAATGTAAAGGTTAAATAAGCACAAAATAATGCTGGAGATTTGAAATATCAATAAGCAAAGGGGATAAATGATCTAGTGAATCTTTAAATACAATTACTTTCAGACAGAATAGATGAAAAATTAAAATCTAATTATGTGCTTTTCATAAGAGGAACATTAAAGTATAAGCATAACTTATTAAGGGTAAAGTAAATTAATACCTTAAATAATCTCAGAAAATACTTTAAAAAGTACCTTGAAATACCTTAATAATGTTTAGTTCCATTGAGTTACATACTATGATCATTGGAGATTTTAATTCTATGTTATGTAAACCTCATAGGAGGTTATTATAACTATTGTTTTATATAGCATTATTCATTTATACTTATCCATACGTTTACAATTATAAAAGGTTTTTTCTTTCTTGTATGTCAGACTTTTTCAAATGTGCTGTATGTTTCATGTTACTTTTTAAAAAATTATTTTCTGTCTTACAGATATTTTCTAGCTTGTCTCTTTCAATTTTTGAAAATGTATAAGTGTTTTATAAGATTCTGTCTCATAAATGAAATATCTAAAATTGTTTGTCAACTGTTTCTGATTTCTGCTTAATGTCTTTGTAGCTCTAATTCTTTTAACAGATATTTAATAAGGGGTTACCGTGTGCCAGGCCCATCTCTAAATACTAGGGATTCAACAATGAACAAAAAAATCAAAAGATCATGACCTTCTGGAGCTTACATTTTAGTGACAATGTTTTGCATTAATGAAATGAAAACTACTGTCTCTAAATTCTATATTGGTCCTTCTAGAGTCTCATCACAATGACAGCATTTTAAAGATTTGAATTTAGTAATCACGGTTTCTTTATCTTACTTTGTCCATTTGTTACTTAAATGGATTGAATTTGAGCTCCTTCAATGTCATGATCATATCCAGTGCACATTACATATTCAAATTTTGTCCTCTACCCCTGAGGTATAATTACAAACAATTCTGTTTTATCCAGATGCTCAGAGGCCAAATTTCTTTTTTTTCTATGACACTGCTGGAACATTTTTGCCTCTATAGCTCCTAACCAAGGGCATGGGAGCAAATGAGAGGGTCCTCTCAGTTGCCTTGTGGATACACAAGTAGATGCCTCACAGTTTGCACTCATGGCTCAGCTCCAATTCCATGTACCCTCTAGCTCATTTAAACTAACAAGTCTTATCCAGTCACAGACCTGGAGTTGCTTTCCCAAAGTAGGCCCAGAAAAAACAAAACAAGTCAATGAGGGCTAGGAGGCAGGTTTTCCTTAATCAATGCTCCCTCTCTCCCTTGTTAAGTGGGATATGTCTCCTTTATTTGTGCATTTTGTGTGGAGTGAGGGCAGGTGGGAAGTGGGCAAAGGGGGGAAAACTGGGACATCTGTAATAGTGTAAACAATAAAAATAAAGACTAAAAAGGCATGATAAGTAAAAATATATATTTTATGTATATAAATTATATATTTTAATATTTATAATTATGTAATTATATATTTATGTGTGTGTGTATATATATATATTTTAAAGCTTTTCTCTCTTTTCCAGGCTCTGTTTTGGAAGGTCTGGCCCCGTTATATAATACTTGGATGTGTGATATATCTGTAGTCGTGAGCACACTGATAACGTTTTTCACCATACTCATTTTTTACCTATTTTATACCCTGAAAGGTAAGTGAGGCGGCAAGGTTGAGAATTCTAATGATGCTATCATCCAAACCTCCCCCTAAATCCCTTGTGTCTTTATCCTCTACTCTCAAATTTCTATTATAGGGTCGAATAAGATCTAGAAAAAATGGCATCTTGGGTTACCCACATTTTTTTCTACATCAGCAAGCAGAACAGGGACTTTTTAGGATTTACCTCATGCCTTGCTCTGTGCTCATTCCACTAAATTCCCAAATCCTTCTTTGCTGATAAAAGAACCCAAAGTGGGAGTAGAAGCTTTACCATTTACATTAAAGACTCAATGGCACGAGATAAAGACCTCAGCCCAACCATGCCCAGCTGTTGACCAGTTAATTGTTGAAAGTTTGCTGCAGATTCACAAAGAAAGTTCTCTTTGATATTTTAATGGAACTTTTCCTTCAAGTAAAACTTAAAATATGGTAATGAAGATATAAATACAAGGTGGGATACCATACCATGTATATCGTGAGCAATTTTCATGCAAGAATCAATATGAGCAAAAAGAGCAGGAGCCATAGCCTAAGAGCTAGAGCAACAAAGGCAGACTTATTTCATACCTTTCTAAATGCTGTGACTCCAAACCTTAATTAATAATCAATCATTGTACTTGCCTGGGACTAAGTCAATGTAGTCCATTTAAGGGCATGGGGAGTTATAAAGTGAGAAAGAATGGAGACCACATCTAAGCTTCATACTCTGCCCCTCTAGGCCTGTGAGTAAAAATTCAAGAAAAATTCCACTTAATGAAACTTAAATCATTTTGCTTGAAGTTTTATATTTAATTCCAGAGATTTTTCCTACCACATGGGTCATAGATACCTAAATTTTAGTCTTTTTTGTAAGGATTTATTTCCATTCTAGATATTTGGAACAAAAAAAGGTGAAGACATTTGGGCAGAGTTACAGAATATGAATTCTTGCGTGTTGTTATTTACTATCCACTTATAACACCAACAATAGTCCCAAGGGACATGATGAATATAGATATGCCTAAGGAAATTACCACTCCTTAGTATTAAAAACTTTCTCCAAAAAAAGTTAACATCAATAAGTGGAGATTGGTCCTGCTGCTATTTAAATTTAAGCCTCAGACCATAAACTAAAATGGCACCAAATAACTTACATCAATAAGTTCAACAAAGACTTACCCTGTGGACAGTACCACTCTCATTGTGAAAGAATCATCCAAAGAGGGCAAGCTATCAGAAAGAAAATCAGAACAAGGGCATGAAAAGTCAGACAAATGTGTATTTGCCCCAAGAGAGGTTTATACTTAGGCTCTGCTTCCTGCCAGAGATGATAACAAAGGCACAAGTACATGAAGACATAGCATACCATCCAAACAATGAGCAATTTCCATTTAAGAGTTGCATGCCAATGGAAAAGAGCAAAATAACTGCATTAACATCCAGAGAAGGAGTGTACTCATTCCAATACAGGTTCATTCTATTAGACACGGATTTCCCTTCTGTCTGAAAAAGAATCAGATAAATTCCAAATTGGTAATAATTTGGTGGTGTCCAAATATCCACTAATGCCTTAAGCCGTTGAATCAGGAATTTTCTTTTTTGAGAGGGGCCAAAGTAAGTGTCTTGTCTGAGCTTGTTTCTAAGTCAAGCAATTGCACAGGCTTCCTTTTCTTGGACTGTGATTGCCCAAGAAATGAATCATACCTGCGATACGTGGTGAACATTCTACTTCCAAACCATATCATTTAACTTACTGAACAAATGTATTCTAACTATCCCAGTGCGGATTTGAACTATTTCTGTCTCGGGACAGACTCCAGTCCCTTTTCTACATGGCACACCCCAAGCTTATGGCAGGCAGTTCTGAAATGTTTTGTCTTGCCTGATATTTAAGCCATTATCTTTACTTCTCTACAGATATCTCTTCGTCCACCCAAAGCTCCTTAAATGACACATGTAATTTACACAAAAATGATTGCTGATGCTTGTTTCTGCTCTTGAACTCAAGTCTACAAAACATTAATATCAAAGGTATTTTTTTCTTTCCTCAATTTTGTTTTGTCTAGAAAATGTCAATTTTGAGCTTGGTCAGTGAGCACCATCATGCCTTCTGCTGTACAATCCCACCATGTCTCAGCTTTAATTAGACTTGAATCCTTATACCTCCAAAGAGAGCACTCCTTGCTTTCTTAACAGATTATCGCTAATTATGGATCTCTACTTACTCATCTGAAACACAGGACGCTTGAGGACAACAGAACCAATGATATAAAACCTTGAGGAAAAGGCGCTTTGGACCAAGAATCTGGATATGTGCAGAGCCAAATGATTACCAATATGTAAAAGCAAAATAAAAGTATTCATAGTTTCCAGCCTTTGAGTATATTTATTGCATATGCAACTTCCTTGAAAATTTACGTGAGAAATTACCTAGGCCGAATGTAATTTCACCATAATTAAGATCATAAGCAAGGGGAATATGTATATGTAGGAAAAGTGATAAGCTAAGAAATGGATAAATGTACCATAAGATCTAAATATTTTCCTGAAATAATCCCAATGTACCATAATCAGATTTATAAATGGACTACAATTGCTTATTTTCAAACTGAGACTCAAATTGGATGAAATTACAAAACAGAGGATGTTTGACTTTTCATGACATATGCTGTGATGGTTAGTTTTATGCATCAACTTGACTTGGCTGAAGGATGCTCAGATAACTAGTAAGCCATTATTTCTGGGTGTGTCTGAGTGTGTCCCTGGAAGAAATTAGCATTTGAATCAGTAGACTGAGTAAAGCAGAAGGTTCTCACAAATGTGGGCAGGCATTTCTAATCCACTGAGGGCCCAAATAAAAAAAGGTGGAGAAAGAGAAAATTCTTTTTTCTTTTTGGATTGGGATGTCCATTTTCTTCTGTCCTTGGACCTTAGAGCTCATGAGTCTCAGGCCATTATCCTTAAACTGGGAGTTACACCGTTGGCTCCCCTTGTCTTCAGGCCTTCTGACTTGCACTGAATTATACCACCTGCCTTCTTGGTTCTCTAGCTTGAAAATGGCAGATCGTGGGATTTCTTGTTTTCCAAAACCACCTGAGCCATTTTTTATAATAATTTTTTTCTTTCTATCTATCTATTATTTATCTATTCTATTCTATTGGAAAGCAGTTTCAGTGTAAAGGGATGGAAAAATAAATACCTGGAAAATAATAACTGTATAACTACATTAATACTAGTAATTTTACAGAAAACATAATTGTTTCTACATAATAATAATAGATGTCAGTGTTTTAAGTTTTAGCCATTCTGGTTGGTGTGCAGTGCTATCATACTAAGGACTTAATTTATATTTCTTTGATGACAACTATATATAAATTAGTATAAACTATAGGGGAAAGCAACACATTTAGACATCATGCACTTGTCTAACTCAGTACAAAATGATCCAAGGCAATGTGTAAGTGTCTACATGAGATTTTAAGGGAGTGAACTGATATACATTAATCCAAAATGTCAGAGGAAGAAAAGTTTGATATGGGCCTAATACAGCAAAGAAAAATTTTTGGAGAATGTGGAGTTTAAAATTAGACTTTTAAGACAGTCAACATTTTGGGCTTAGAAAATAAGAATAAATAAATCAGAGAGACACTAAATAAAGCTAAGAAATAGAATTTTTAGAAGAATGACTTGTTTTTAAGTGGTTTCTCTCATAAGTTCTTGTTAACTTGAAAAGGTCCTCTTTGAGATCTGTGTGGTTGGATCAGAACTAGGAACACCTGGTGTGCAGTACACTGAGTTACAGAGATAAATGAGTTGTGGGGTTTTAAGTGCTGTTCAGCATAATTTGATAGGATTAATCTTAGTATGAGAAGAGATAAGAGAACTTTCTCTCTTTCTCTCTCTTTGTGCACAAAGAAGAGATCATGAAAGCTCACAGTGAAATGGTTACCTACAAGCCAGGGAAAGAGGCCTCAACACAAATTGACCATGTGTCACCTTGATCTTGGACTTCTGGCTTCCAGACTATGAGAAAATAAATGTCTGTTGTTTAAGCTATACCTAGTCTATGGTACTTGGTTATGGTACTCCAAGCCAACTCTTACATTTCTTCTACAAAACAATAAATGAACTGGAAAAAAATGTCAGAAATCAACTTTTTCCAGAACTCTGGAAATTAACCAAAAGCTTTACAACAACCAGGAAAACAATGATTAGAAAAAAGAGCTGAATTTAGGTAAGAATAGTAAGCTTTTCAGCATTTTAACTTAACCTCTTATATTCTGTTTCTCAGCTCAGTGGTTACCTTGCAAATAACAGCCTGTAGTCCCTTGCGAATACTGGAAGAGGGAGTAAAACGGGCCTCATTAGCAGAGATACATATAGGTTAGAACCCTCCTGGATGATCTAGAACCTCACAAAGATGGAGTAAAATCCATATCTATTTTTATTGCTTCTGACTACTTCAGGGTTATTGCTTCTGACCTTGTTGAGGACACTATATTGGAGAATCCAGGGCCCTTCATCACAGAGTTAACACTCATTGGGCTTAGGAGTCAGAGAAGTTGAAGGAGAATTCATGGGGAAGTAAAGCAATTGTAGGCCTATCTGCACATATCCCTTGTGAGCCACTGAATCTGGAAACATAAAAGAAAGGGCATTCTGGAAAGTATAGTTCAGTCTAGACAAATGGAATCAATATAAACCTACCACAATGTTCTTAAATCAAAATTTTCATATCTGAGAAAGGACAAAATCATCTGAGTATAAACTAGGAGAAAAAATAGACAATAACAAGAGACCTAACAGTCCCACAGTTGACTGAGACAGTAAAATTAGCCGACAAGTTTAAAATAACTATAATTGATTGTCCATGTAGAGGAAGAGTTACATAGCATTACCATAGAAGTGGAATCTAAGAAAAATACTTGGGATTTCTGTTACCGAACATGGACCTGTTGTGGGGGGAGCCTCAGATACTATTACCAGAACAACACCTCCTTTTCCCCTGGGTCCCCCTGTTC